CAGCAGTCCAGCATCCTGTAGGAACCTGTTACAAATGCAGATTCTTGGTTCCCGTCCATGAATTACGTACTCTGGGAGTGGGGTCCAGTAATCCCCCTTTTAAACAAGCCCTCTGGTGGTTCTGACAGGTCCTGAAGTTTGAGAATCACCACTATAGGCTAGTGGCTTAATCCCATCTTTTTTGTGTGTGTGTGGCTTAATCCCATCTTAAAAGAGCACCTGCCTCTCAGTCTTTCACCAGATGACGTCACAGGAAAGGGGAGATTTAGGGTAGGTTGTAACCTACTAAAATTCCCTTAAGGATGTCCTTAAGGGGATATTTTGTTATTTTACCCTGATCACTCCCACTGTTGACAGTAACACATTCCAGCCAATAGAAATGGTCCGGACAGTACAGATGCTCTTCCGGGGCCCTGCCAGGACTTTAAGTGGATCAGTGCTCAAAGTCCTGGAGAAATAAGAGGGTTTAGGAGGTTTTAAATTACTATAATGTTTGACAGTTGTATATTTGCCGCTTTTGAACGTCATTATGTTGTCTAGTTAAGAATTTTTCTCTAGTTTTCATTATCAGAATACTTTTGTATTTTTTCCAACCTTTATCTGAAATTTAGGCACATTTGTAATAACTACAGTTTACTTCTAAGATTTTCTCAACTGATTAATGGGCCAGTTAGAATTTAATCTTATATTCATGGATAGCATTCTACCTTAGGTTAATGAAAATTCATTTATATAGTATTTAAAATTTTCAGAGTGTTCTTGATCTGTGGGTAGGGTAGGCAGACCTTATCTCCATTTTACAGAGAAGAAAATCAGTGACTTGCTCAGTCCCTGTACATAGTAGCATGGGTCTTCTGATTCCATCACTCTGTCCCATATCCTGAATCTGGCTAGACCTTTTTTTCATATTCGTTACCTTTAAAATACGGTTCTGACCTGTTGGTAATTTCACCAGCCGAGTACAAGGGAGAAAAAGAAAAGTTAATAATGAAATTCACCATTTTACAAGTAAAAACTGTATCCTGCAAAACTTAAAAATTTTTTTGGAATGTATACGTGAGAGACAGTATGAAGTGTGAGTGTGTGTGTGTGTGTGTGTGTGTGTGTGTGTACGTACACACAGAAGAGAAAGAGATGAAAAGCTGAGAGAAGTCATCTTTACTCTGAAACATTTAGTACTGTGTGAGAGCTCAATCTCCCTTGCCATTTATCTTTAGTTCTTTCTCTGCCAAATTCTGAACTTGAGTATGTGTCTGATGGTGAAACACTGTATAAGTACAGGACCAATCGACAGCAAAATTTGTGTAAGAATAAATAAATAGTGGAAAAATACAGTGGACCATGGGTGAACCATTAAGGTTTCTTACAAAGGAGTGGCCAAAACGAGCTTTGAGCTGTTTGGAAGAACTGCAAAGTTGAGGCTTAAAAACCCATAACTTGAGATTAATGTTGGTTTGCAATGAAGTTTTCACTGGTTTGCAGCAAGATGAAAGTAGTAAGGATAAGGTATTACGAGAATATAGACATATACATACATGTCTGTGTATACAACTAATCTCTTTCTCGTTTTTATACCTTAATTATTGAGAGGTAAAGTCTTTCAAAATGATGTCGTGAGTAGGTGGGAGGGGCAGAGGTGTATGTGCACAAATGTGTGTTTGGTAGCTTTAGTTACCTTTTGAGTATACCTCTTTAGTTTATTCCTGTATAACGTCTGGATTTACCAGAGGACCGGTTTTCTGAAAACCACCTCACACTTGAGGGTTCAGTTGTCTGGGGGCAGTGCTTGAAAGCAGCAAAGTGTGTTGTCATAAGCACCCTTATTGCACTTGGCCAAGCTTTCCTTACCTTGAATGTTCAGTTGACTCTTTTTCTGTGTGTGTGCGTGTGTGTGTGTGTTTCTCCTCCTCCTTCTCCTCCCCTCAGCCCTCCTCTCTGTCCTCTTCTGCCCTGACTTTCTTCCTGCCTCCCTCCCTCCCCACCACCATATAGGACCTCCTCCCAATCCTCTCCTCTGTCTTTTCCTGCTCTCTCTTTCCCTAGCTGTATAGGGGTAAATGTTCAACAGGCATTTCATATATAAGCACACATCCTGACAATAACAGTAATTAGTCATTTTACTATAAATGGAGATTTTAATTTCAAAGACCTCCATCCCTAAATCTATCCAAAAGCAGTTTGCTTTACATTTCATAGTAACAGGTGCTGTCTCTTTTATGGTATCCCTAGTGGGAATACCAGCAGTGGTTACAATGATAGTAACAACAGTCATGGTTTCTTCTTCTCCTATGGCTAATGTTTATTGAGTTTTTACCACTTGCCATATATTGTTCCAGGTAAGTGGTGCTGAGTTTAGTCTTTGGACCCTGGGGGATGCCCAAGACTCTGCAGGAGCCTGTGAGGTCAAAACTATTTTCATAATAATGCTAAGAAGCCATTTGCCTTTTTTATCATATTGCTATTTGAGCTGATTACACAGAAGCCATGGGTAAAACTGCTGGCTCGTCAGCCCAGATCAAGGGTAGTGGTCATTGTAGTCTTCCTTGTGGGCACTCTCAGTTAAAAAAAAAAAAAAAAGCAGAAGCAGCCAATTTTATTTTAGAAAGCCCCTGATGAAGCAGTACATTTTATTAAAACTTGACCCTTTATTACATGTCCTTTTAATGTTCTGTGTGACTGAATTGGGCAGTACACACAAAACACTTCTGCATGTTTGAGTTGCCAGCTGGATTAGTCACATTTTTCGTGGCGAGGCAACTGTGGTTATTCAGACTTGAGCATTTGGCAGAAATGTTCTTGAAAATGAAGAAGCCAGCCTGTAATTTCAAGGACAACAGTGTATTACTGGTGGAGTGGTGGGGGCTGTGCAGTGGCCAGACTGGAGGGTGCTTCTGCAGGGGAGAGGTGTTCACGGGGGCCCTCCTGATGCGCAACAGTGTCAACTTTTTTATATCCGACTCATGTTTATAAATTAAAGTTGGACTTTGAATACTGATGAATTTTTGAGTAACAGAGCCAAAAAACATTTGCCAGGGTTTACCTACTGTAGAATCAGTCATCATATAGATTAGCAAAATAGAGCCCAGATATCCAAGGTAACCCTGTACAAATGCATGATTCATGGACTAATCTTATATTTTATAGCACTTTAAACTTCCAAGTACTTTCATATATATGTTTTCATCTGATCTTCACACAACCCTGTCATTATCTAAAGCAGTTTAAAGATAAGGAAATTGAGACTCAATGAAGAATCTTTGTACTTTATATTTTCCATCCCTTTTGGCTGTTATTTCTGATGGCTTGAAATAAGGCAGAGTAAATAGAGAGGAGATAGAATCTGTAAAACTTGGCATCTAACTAGATGCAAAAAAAAAAAAAAATGGAGATGAAGGAGCCAGGGAATTTTCTGAAGTTCCCACTTGGACCCCTGGGAGGGTACCATTAACTGAGAAAATAAAAATAGGGAAGGAATAGATTGAGGTCTCCTGAAGGCCTTTTCGTTGGCACTAGTATAACCTGCTTTGAAGGAGTCCTAAAATATATAGGCTCTGCTCTCACACACAGTCTCTATATGGCAAGTTACGTGCTGTAACTGATTAAAGGGAAAACATGCTAAGTGCCTTAAGAAAGGCTTGGTTTAAGTCCTGTACCTGTTCACAGGAGGGAAGGAATTCCTTCTGGGCTCAGGGAAATTTGTGGAAGAGGAAACATTTGAAAGGAGTCTTGCAGAATGGTAGAATCTGGATGTGCAGAGGTGGTTGTGAGGAGACCAAGTTCAGTTACAGAAAAATAAAGCAAGATGTGGAAGGAGGAATATCAAGTTCCATAGCTTGTGCGTAAGCAGATAATAAGAAATTATTGGAAACGGCTATTCCAGTAAATTATGGGAAATGTTGACTGCTACACACATGGTCAGTTTTCCATTTTGTATTTCATTTTTTAAAATGACATTGCCAGGGGCACCTAGGTGGCGCAGTCAGTTGAGCATCCGCCTCTTGGTTTTAGCTCATGTCGTGATCTCAGGGTCGTGAAATCGAGCCCCGCGTCGGGCTCTGCACTCAGCGCAGAGTCTGCTTAAGACTCTCTCTGCCTCTCCCTGCTAAAATAAATGAATCTTTAAAAGAAATGATATTGCCAAGCAGATGTCGTCTTAAGTACAACTTCATTCTTTACGTATAAAACTTCATTTTTTTTCATTGACCAGGGTAAGGATTTCAAGTTCAGGCAACATAATCTTCCTAGATACTGGTTTATAGTTTTAGAGAGGGTCATACAAAATATCTTACTGTGGTCTTGGGACAGCCGGGTGGCTCAGATGGTTAAACGTCTGCCTTTGGCTCGGGTCATGATCTCTCCGGGTCCTGGGATCAAGCCCCACGTGGTAGGACTCCTCGCTCAGCAGGGAGTCTGCTTCTCTCTCTCCCTTTGCTCCTCCCCCCACTCCTGCTCTTTCTGTCTCTGTCTCTCTCTCTCAAATGAATAAATAACAATCTTTTAAAAAAACATTTTACTGTGGTCTTATTTTTTAATTCTACTATGGCTTATTTAAAATAAGCTTGCCGGGACGCCTGGGTGGCTCAGTCGGTTAAGCATCTGCCTTCGGCTCGGGTCATGATCCCAGTGTCCTGGGATCAAGCCCCACATTGGGCTCCCTGCTCAGCGGAGAGCCTGCTTCTCCCTCTCCCTTTCCCTCTGCCTGCCTGCCGTTCCCCCTGCTTGTGTGCGCGCTCTCTCTCTCTCTCTCTCTCTCTCTCTCTCACACACACACACACAAATAAATAAATCTTTAAAGTAAGCTTGCCATCTTTTGATAACGTTATTCTCCTCTCAGAAATTCCATCAATCCTTTACATTGCATTTTCATCTGAACTGCATCCTTCAAGTGGCTATCTTCTGTAGCTTAGCTTTGTCTTGCCTATCTTTTTTCTCCTGGCATTAGTGTTATTACTCACTGCAGAATGTATCTGACTTGGCTATTTATTACTGTTTTCCCCCAGATAAGCCAGATAAATATGATCCACGTGATGTTGAAAGGCTACAACAGGATGATAACTGGGTTGAAAGTTACTTACTTTGGAGACATAGTGTTGTTGATGAAACACTGAAGATGCTTGATGAAAGTTTTCAGTGGAGGAAAGAAATGTGTGTCAACGGTAAGACGTTCAATTTAACCTTGACAGTATACTGTCCCCTGCATAAATGTTAGTTTTACATTTATCAAATAGTGTATTTGCAAATATTCTTGGTAATCATCATAAACACCAAAATACAATGTTTTATAAAAACGCACTTACACTTTGAAAGCATCTTACGAATGTCTTAAAAGTAGTATCGTTCATAGGGAAATCAGATCACCAAGGAGCAGAATTACATTCAGATTCTTGGACTCAGAGCAGAGTCTCTTAATCTGTGCTTGTTTAGTTCAGTACCATTGAACAATAGCAAGACAGCATCGTCACTACAAGGCCTAGAGGTACGGAGGAGATACTGTTTTCCTGTTTTGTTTTGTTTTTCAGTTGTTGCCTTATATCTTTTTCTATCCCCAGAGTTCCTTGTGCTAATAGGTACCCCCTGTAGCATTGCTAAATAACTGGGGGCCCCTAAAAAAGCAGGCTTATCCCCAAGGATGCCTATGGCAGCCTTTGCTTAACTTCTTGATTTGAAGACCCAATTCTAGATTGACATTTTCCCCCACAATGGGAGTTTTAAATCTTGGAAGGGTTTTTTGTTTTTTTGGTTTTTTTAACAGTCTTCAAGTATATGAAGAACCCTTGATAGGAAAGGTTACACATTACCTCTCTTGTAAAATTTAACAGGAGGAATCTGGCATAACTGCTGGTTTTGATGAGGTACAAAGAAGGATTTCTTGACCTTGAGGGTTACAGACTCTGGAGTGAGTGAGTCTGGAGACTTAAGACAAAAAAGTCAACAAATAAATCCAGAGCAGATACTCTCCCCAGTCTTCATACTTGTAGAAAAAAATCCATGAGAAGGGGAGTATTTAAGAAATAATTTGATTGGAAATGTAAAAACCATAGATCATGTCAACAAACAGTGAAGCATTTATTAATCAAGCAAAGAAATGTAAATCATTTAAGTACAGAATGAACTTTTAAGCTAAACAGTAGTATTTTTTTATATGGAATTGCTAGTTTCCAGTGACACATGGCGGAGATATGGTAAAAGGGTAGTGCAGAAAGGTAAAGAATCTTTGAAAGTTCTCAGGGAACTACTGGTGAATGAAACAAAAGCCTTGGCATTTACTGCCTTGCTGTGTTCTCACTAGAGACTGGACAGACCTTGTTTTGTTCCTCCTGCTAATGGATCTAGCTTTTTTTTTTTTTCCAAGTATTTTCCATTTGCCGCAAGATTATAAAATGTGTTAGACTCTACTAGATATGAATCTTTGTAGAAAAATATTTTACTAGAGAAACCATAAGTGATTTTTAAATCAGTCCTGAGGCTGTAATGTGGATATTTACTAGCATGTTATCTTGAAATTGTCCAATCGTGATAGTATTTGTTGAAAATGATTATGTGAAGCACAACCAAAAATGGAAATGTGTCCACATAATAATGGCCAGTGTGTCAAGGGAAATGGATTTTTTTTCCCATTTCTCTCATCCATGTCTTTATGTAGTTTGTTTACTTAGTAAGAAACACCATTTTTTTATTGCCAGAGGTTCTTTCCAGATACTTGAATAAGCTTATCTTTTTTTATATCAGATCTACTATATAACATTAGCATTTACATTGTAAGTTTTCTTTTTAAAAGGCCCCTAAGTTACAATTACTCATCAGGTTTATCCTTTTTTAGACCTGACTGAATCCTCCATTCCCAGATGGTTATTGGAAATTGGTAGTATTTATCTCCACGGTTATGACAAAGAAGGCAACAAGTTGTGTAAGTATATTTTAATTGATGTACTGGCTTTTCAAGATTTTGAGATGCGTTTATCTCAACTGAATTAATAATAGGCAGAACCTTCTCCATATGTACCACACATCAAGTTCCCTACAATTAGGACCATTAGGGCCATCTTGACAGTGTCAAACACTTAGTTGTATGTACTGTTTGCATTATGATAAAGTAGGTGGTAAAGGCAAATGCCACATCCTGTAACACAGCCAAAATAATGTAATGCAGAGTCATTATCTTCTTTCTAATTTACTGATACTAAAATTCAACCCAGTATTTTCATGGAAAATCTTTTCGACAGTTGCTAAGGGTTGCTAAATGGACTTTTCAAGTTTGACGTCTGTCCCTGTCATGCCCATGTCCCCCCACCCCCCACCAGTCTTCTCCCCTTAGCTTCTTGTGAAATCTGTGATAGTAGGAGGACCAGTAACAACCATCCCTACCATCCTGATGCCTCCCTTATTATTCCTCTCGCCCCTTTGTCCAAAATGCAGCTTGGTTTGTACTAGAGCTGTGACTGGGCAGGAGTATCAGAGCCCCATCCCGAGCGCTTGCTTGCCCGCTCCCTCTGCAGCATGTGGTCCATTCCTGTTTTAACACTGTTCTCCTAGCATTTCCCTCCTGTGCCGGCTCTCTTTCCCAGTCTTCGTTTCTCTTTGTTCTCTTTGCTCTCATTCCCGGTCCCTTACATGCGCTTCCCAGGCTTCATTCCTTTCTTCGCTGCTTTTACTTTCCAGCTGATACAGTCCCCTTGGGTGATCTCAAGGACCTTGCCTCCCCACAAACAGTGATGACCCACATGGTCCCCAGGGGACGTGCACATAGCTACCCAGCTACCCACTTGACTGGTGCCACTGGACTGATTGCCGGCCACCTTCAACACAAAAGCGCTACTGGATCGCATCCCACTGCCTGCCCTCCTTCCGCACCACCCAGCACCACCCAGCTCGGGCCCACAGCCTCTGTCCGCCCCCCCACCCCCCGCCACAGCTTCAGCGGAGCCCCTTCCCCATTTCCGTCACTTCCTCAGTCCCGACCCTAACTGCCTTCCCAGGGCACGGCCTGTTGGGTTGCCTTCTCTGCCTCTTCCATTCTCCCCTCCGCGCTGCTGCCTCCGCGGGATGTCTTAAGTAGGAAAAGCACACCTTAGCATTTGACTTGGAGCCCTTCCAGCCCAGCCCTTGTCTCTTGAGCGTCTCCTCTCGGCACTGGCCGCATTTTGCCCTAGCTGCCCTGCCCCGAGCGGTTCGTGGCGCTCTGTCCACGCGCGCGCTCCCGCCCCGACTCGGGCCGCCCTCGTGCCTCTGTCCAGGCTGCTTCTCCGCACGCGATGTTTGTTCTAGTGCTTCCCACCACCACTGGCTTGCTTTCTTGTCAAGCACAGTGAAGAGTACTTTTAGGTTATTACCAGATATTGTTTGTTCACCTGTATTTTCTTTTCCCTCTTACTAGAGAAGTTTATTTTCCAAGGCGGAAAAGAGTTCCCCTTTCTGCTCCTCTCGAAGTTCCCAAATGCACAGTGTTTCTTATTTAAAAGAAGAAGGAGATGTTTTTAATCTGAGAAGGAAAATGAAATGCAAATGAAGAAAATGTTAAGGGAAAGGAATGATCTGTGTGTAAAATAACATTCTAATGACAGGTACTTTTCTTATTTTTATCCTCTGTTCTGTTAAAAGTCTGGATCAGGGTGAAGTATCACGTAAAAGACCATAAAACCATGTTGGACAAAAAGAAGCTTATCGCATTCTGGTTGGAACGTTACGCTAAAAGAGAAAATGGGAAACCCGTAACAGTGATGTTTGACCTGTCAGAAACTGGAATAAATAGCATAGTAAGCATTTCTTTAATTCGCAAGCATTATTTATTGTCATGTCCTCCCCGCCACTCCTCCCAGCCAAATACTGCTGTATGTTTAAGCTGACCAAGTTCTGTTTGGGATTTATTTGTTTTCCTTGTGTATTGTGAGTCAAGTCAGACATGAAGTAAGTTTTGCAAAGAAAGAAATTTGCTTCAGTATTTGGCACGGAAACTGTGAGTTTCCTAGAAATGCTCCTCATGTGATACACAAGGTGTCAGGGTGAGACGTGGAAGCTGGCAGGGTAACGAGTAGCTGTGGTGATATGGAAGTCTTCTGTCAGTACTAATATCCCGCAGCACCTCGCCCCGTGCCTGGCACAGAGAAATGCACTCAGGAAGTACTGGGGAAAGTAATGCACGCTCTCTGCGGTACTGTTAGGTTCATACCATGTTTGGTAGTTGTGAGATGTTCACCTGACTTTTGCACATATGGCACTTTGTCATTCTGTTGGGGGTTTTTGTTTGCTTGATTTGGTCAGCTTTGGAAACCAGTTTTCTTCAGGTGATTTTTGTCAAGCTTAAAAAATAAGTAAAACCCACCAGTCTTTAACTTGGGCCCTTGTGACCTTAGTAACTACAGACCCTTCAGCAGCGATGGGGATCCTTTGGCACACTGATGATAGCTCTTGTCTCTCACATTCGAGCCTTAGCTACTTCTGGTCGCAGTGAAGCAGCCTTCACACACCTGCCTGGGGCAGTAGTGAAACGTTTTTGCAAGTCCGCTCGGCAAAGTATGTTAAGAATCTTAAGGTGTTCGTATTCGTATTCTTTGCCTGGTAACTAAGTTCTGGAAATGTATTTTAAAGAAATAATCCCGAGTACAGAAAAAAGCATTGTGTGCCAAGTGTTTTTTTTTTCAGAGTGTCATTTAAAATAGTGAAAACTTAGAAAAAATTTTTAAAAAAATAAAATAGTGAAAACAGAAAAAAATGTAAATGTCAGCATGGGCAAATGGTAAATTATGGTGTATTAATTGATAGAGTGTATGTAGCTATATAAAATGGTGTTTATAAATAAGTGTAGTAATAGTGGAAAATACCTTTTTTAAAAATGAATGATAAAAAAGGCTACAGGATTATGTCCTAGTGATACCTAGCCTCCAAAAAAGGAACTCTTAGACATCAAAAAAAAACAAACAAAAAACAGCCTAGAGAGAACAAGGGGATTTTTTTGGGTGGTGGGATCACACATTTTTATTTTCATCTTTATCTCTATGCATATTTTAAGAGTCCATTGCCCTGGATTTTTTCAATCTAGTTTCCACTTCAGTGAGTTGTAGATTACAGAGTAAATTGTTTTATACCCAAAGTCTAAATCAAAATACCTAGATAAATAGGTATTCCATAAAAATAAATCATGATTCTGTCATCCTCTGTATATGACAGTTTCTAATTATTAACCCAGAATCATAAACAAGTGCTAATGTTTTTTACTGCCAAACATAGGGGCAAGGAATTGACTTGAACTGATTTTTTTTCAAACTACTTATATGCTCTCTCTTTAAATAAGGTTTATTTGCATTACTAAGTATTTAAATCAGTATTAATGTTTTAAAATACTGAATCCTAATTGAGTTACTTTTATATATGACTCCCTCGTGATTCACAAAGGATTTAAGTTGGCTTATGAACAGTATGCAGAATTGCAAGGCAAAAAAAATTAAAAGCTATTTGTTAGAGTTGGGCCACTGATTGGAGTCCAGTCTTTCATCTGCCTGTCTGAAAGAAATGGAATCACTTAAAATTATTTCAGTGGCCGTACTTTAAAACCAGTGTCTTAGGAGAAGTATATTCATTACTGATACTTGAACTAGAGAGAAAAGTATTTCATGGGTCCCCAAAGGGAGGACATTTTACAGGGTAATAAATAGTCCTTGAAGACATCCTCACAGAAGGCAGAGCAATAGGTTTCATGGAACTTTTTAATGTAGTACCCACTAATATACTTAACACCAGTGGTATCCTATCAGATCCACTTGAATTAGCAGTAACTTGGGATTTTATAAGCAAGGCTATCCAGTTAAAAGACGAAAACAAGAATATTGGATGAAGACTTTTTGGGCAAAGTCTCTGGGGGTCACAAATCATATAGGTAACCAGATTTTTATAGAACTAGTTATTTTGAGATATTTCTTTGACTCTTAAATACAAATTATTAAACTCGGTACACAGTGGATATAATGATTAGTTATAAAGGTACTATTATATACTAGGATTTATTCCATAAAAAATACTTAACACACTTAAGGATGCTTGCTTTCAGTTTACTGAAATTAAGGATGCTGCAACTCACATCCTAGAAATGACTTTATAGATTCATCTCTGGACAACTCACCTTTCAGTAATTGATGGATTTAAGTTTGCCTGATTATCTTTCATCCTACAGTCCTTATAAGATGGCTGATCAGGATTAGTAAGTTGGCCTACGGCCATGGAATAACATGGAATGAAATGATCCATGTGAATAGTGACCCTCATAACCTAATTTCATGTTGCTGTGTTCAATGCAGTAGAACCAACAGACAGTTATGTTCATAAAGTTTCCCAGGAATTGGAGTCAATGAACAACACTTGAATATAAACTAAAAAATTCTAATTCTAATTCGAGGTCCCTAAATAAGAGGAAAGAAGCTAGAGGCGAAGTAGATACAGAACACCAATATGTTCAGATTAGCTGTTGTGTAAAAGATTGATAAAACGTATTTTATTGAAACTATTACAAGGTATAAAAATTAGGTTTAAAAAGCAAATATACCAGAATAGATATATGTAATATCATTCCAAGTAGTGAGATTGTAAACTGTACACTTGTTTTAAATAATTCCTTAATTGTTCAACAGATTTTTAGAATTTCTCTATAGGCATTGCTTTTAGATCCACTTTATAATGCCATGTTACTTTAGCAGCCTGAAGTATCTCACTAGTTTGAGGTAACAGGAATGATGTTTAAGCATCTGCTTTCTTTTACTTGATTTTAGGACTGATTATTATAAGTAGCTTAATGACTTAAAACCTTAATCCCTGGAAATATAGATACATATTTATATATGAGCTTATTTTTTAAAGAATTGTCTCATTTGTATTTTTTTCCCAAGAACCATATTTTAATTGTTATTCCCCTATTCCAAGGGGTACCAGTTCAGTAAGATTTTTTTAATTATTATTTTATGTTATTTAATAGTTGTATCACCTTTAGAAATGTGCAATTTAAAATTCTCTAACGTGGATAGTCTTAAAGATTTAAATGTGTAATCTTTGTTTTAGGATATGGACTTTGTACGCTTTATCATCAACTGCTTTAAGGTTTATTATCCTAAATACCTCTGTAAGTAACTTACTCTTTTATAAAAATACAAAATATAGAAACTATAAACAATGGCTCAGATTGCTTTAAATTACTATAGACTTTAATACCTGAAGTGTTATTTTCTGATGAGGAGCTTAAATGTGTGCATAGAAGTTTAAGTGCATATCCTAGTAGATATAAGGGAAAATTTTCATAATTGTCCTTTATAGTTTTAAGAATTTAAGTTCTAAACTGTATAGATGGCATCCTATAACACACATACATATATAGGTACATAAAAACATACCTTTATTTTGAAGATTATCCCATTTTTAGTCATCTTTCAATAAAAAGCTCATTTAAAATAATATTTATTATATGGAACTTCTTACATATAAGAAACACATAAGCAGTATTGATAAAGTATACTGTGTGATAAGCAGTACTCATACATAAAATGTACTGTGTTACTAATCGTTCATTTTAAAATTGTCATTAAGAAAACATTAGACTTGGGCACCTGGGTGGCTCAGTCAGTTAAGCGTCTGCCTTCGGCTCAGGTCATGATCCCAGGGTCCTGGGATCGAGCCCCACATCAGGCTCCCTGCTCAGCGGGGAGTCTGCTTCTCCCTCTCCCTCTGTCTCTACCCCCTGCTTGTGTGCTCTTGCGCACGCTCGCTCTCTTTCAAATAAATAAAATCTTTAAAAAAAAATTAGACTAGCATACACTGCATTTAAATCAGGCATTTAGAGTTTATTTTTAATTGTGATTCTTGCATTAATTACCAGAATGAAGAACTCCTAAATCTTATGTATTCATTTTTGATTTATTAGATTTATATGATGTTTTCCAAACTCTGGAGAAATCAAGATGTTGTCCCACATAAACAGCCATATATTTTTAGCTCCAGTGGACTAAAAGTGAAAAAAGCAGAAGAGAGACAACAGGGATATCAGAAAATGGAAACTCACAGATCTGCCTGGGCACAGCCTGGCAAATACCACAATTAGGGTCTTTTGAGACTTCTGACTTAGGTGATATTAAACCTTAAAATCCCTAAATCTTCTTAACTTTGGCATGCTTTCACGTTATTATTCATGTGAAGTAAGGAACAGACAGCAAGCATGATCAATCTCAAGGATCAGTGCCACTGCTAGCCCATGCTCTCATGTCTTTAGAGGGAGTATTCATGAAACTTTTTAGGTAAAGAGAATGTCTGGTTGGGAAACCTGGAGGATCTGCTATTCCTTCTGAATTCTTCCTGGATCCACCATGTACCCTGATTCATTAAGTTTTATAATACCAATCAAATGGTCAATAGGGAATCTCGACCCCATATGATTAGGTTGTTCCTCTTATGTATAAAATGAAAATAAAATATCCACTTGTTTATTGAAATATCTAAAAGTTTGTGAAGAGCCATTTATAAATAGTATAAATATCATTATTACCTTATAAAGCATATCTAAGATTCTTTTGAGAGAACTCTTAATAAATTCATGGTTCTAGATAAACTATGAATTGGAATACTATTCATTCCGATTAACTAGAGGTAATGTGTATATATTCTGCCTACATAATGTAGTTTTGCAGACATTAAATTTTGTAAAATCTGATTATGCTTCAAAATTTGTCATGAAACACAACCATTATTTCGTAAAACCTTAAGTCCACATCTTTTTAGGCATATCACAGATGAAAATTGAGGTATTAAGCACCAGGCTACCTCTGTGAGATACCTTGTTTCTCAGATGAACTTTACTTGTCCTACATTAATATAATCATTCTAGGATGTTCTCTGCTCAGAGAAGAATGAAATTATATTTTGATTCATTTGTAATAGAACAATGAATTGGATATCAAAACTTCCCTTTGTGATTTCTGGTTCTTTCTTATAATTGTTAATAGGGCTATTCAAGTCTTCATCTAAATATGCAAATAATACTTCTGTATACTTGGGAATTACTGGCTTGCTGGGGCTTATAATATGAAGAAAAGTATAAATTCTGTTTCTTAAAACGTAATGGTGTATTAAAGTTAGGGTAAAGGGAAAATGTGCGAGTGGTTTAACAATATAATCTCTAGAAACTTAGCAAAACCAATAAATTAGACATTGAAATCATTTTTTTATTTAAATTCAATTAATTAACATAGACATTGAAATCATTTTAAAGTTCACTGGACTTCAACACTAATATGACATGCCACATCCAAAGATTCCACTTACCCATTTAACTATTTTCTTTTGTACCTTTCTGCAAACAGCAAAAGCAATAAATGAGCAAAAGAACAGGCTATTTGCCAAAGGACAGTGATAATGCAGTGGTCATTTCCAAAAAGCTGCCCTGGGGGGTGGGCCCCTCATCAGTGTGAGAAGTTAATTTGGTTCAAGCACCACTCACACTTCACTGAATTAGAACAGAGTCAGCTAGCTCAGTTTTTAGTTAGGTTTAGATCGCCAGCTTTTTCTAGACCAGGTATAAGTGATAGTACTATAGTGGTACTAAATCACATTGAATGAATTTTTTTCTCTTTCAGCAAAAATGGTGATCTTTGATATGCCTTGGATAATGAACGGTGAGTATATTATACTTTGCTAAAACAAAATGTCTGATTTCCTTTTTTCCAATTTAGCCATATTTCTATGGTGGTTTAAAATAATGTTTATGTTGTGCTTGGTGTGTACTCTTAAGAGGCTGGAGCTAGAACATTCAAAGGCTCTTCCTAAGCAAACCGGGTTAATGTTCTACCCCCAGGCTCTGGATAGGACATGCATTAGTCTTCTCTAAAAACAGCGTCAAGATGTTCAACCAATCAGGTAAACCTAGAGACAGATGCCTCAGTTTGTCACCCACAGATGGGCATGTCACAGAACACAGGCATTGGCTGGATTTTCTCATGGGCTTTGGGTGTTGAGGAAGAAGGTGGGATGAATCTGAAGTTTACTCCAAATCTCTGTAGGCACATTACCCTTCTATAAGACAGTCATGATACATTTTTTGGTAAAAAATTATTTTAAAAAACATTGAAAAACACTCTTTACCAACTTCAACATGATGCAAATTTAATGTTGTTTTCAGAATGTACATTTTCATTTGTGTTTGCCAGAGTCAATTGTTATATAGAAACCAGTAGAGAAAACCAATGAAACTAAACCTTGGTTCTTTGAAAAGTTAAATAAAATTGACAAAACTTTAGCTAAACCGATAAAGAAAAAAAAAAGACTCCAGTGATTAAAATCAGGAATGAAATAAGGGACATCACTGCTGACCTTACAGAAATTAAAAGGATTATAAGGGAATACTGTGAATGCTTGTATGCCAAGAAATTAGATGATATAGATGAAATGGACACGTTCCTAGAAAGACAAAATACAGAAATAATTCAAGAAGAATCTGAATAGAAGTATAACAGAAGACCTTGAATTAGTAATCAAAAAACTTCCCACAAAGAAAAGTCGAGGCCTAAATGACTTCACTGGTAAATTCTACCAAACATATAAAGAAGAATCAACACCAAACCTTTGCAAACTCTTCCAAAAGAGAAGAGGGAACACTCCCCAACTCATCTTATGAGGCAAGTATATTCTAATAACATCACTGGAAAAGAAAATTAGAGACCAGTATCCCTTATGAATATGGATGGACCAACCCACAATAAAGTACTGACTGAACCTAGCAGCATATAAAAAGGATTATACACCATGACCAAGTGGGATTTATCTCAGGAATGCAAAGTTGGTTCAACATACGAAAATCAATCCATGTATTCAATGTATTAATAGACTAGAGGAAAAAAGCACATGATCATCTCAGACACAGAAAAAGCATTTGACAAAACCTAGTACATTCTCATGATAAAGGCACTCAAGAAACTAGGAATAAAAGGTGCAAAGAGTTGTAACACCTGCAGAGTTAGGGAGACCACAGTAGTCCACGTAAGACTACCCTCACTTCTGAGACCACCTGTAAGTTCGGGGGGTGCCCCAAACCACCCTCAGGTCTGCTAGAATTACTCATAGACCTCACTGGAAGCTGTTATACTCACAGTTATGGTTTACTACAGGAAAAGGGTTCAGATTTAAATCAGCCAAGGGAAGAGAAACATACGGTGGAATCCAGTTAATTACCAAACGTGGAACACATTAGTTTCCCAGCATTGATATGTGGCAGTACTTCCTGGAGTATTGCCAACCAGGGAAGCTCACCTAAACTCCACTGTTCAGTTTGTATTAGGGCCCCCTTACATAGGCCTGACTGATTAATCACGTGCTTGATCTCAGTCTCCATTCTCCAGAGGTCTACTCATACTGTGTGACCAAAGCCCCCACCCTAAATCATTGTTACAGTGTGACCCAAGACCCTCAGGCAAACAAGGACACTCCTTACCTTACAAGGTGGGCATGAAGGTTACCTTCCAGAAGCTGAGGGCAAAGGCCAGACCTCTCTTTGGGTAAAGTTAATTCTTGAATATACAGAAGAGAACTTTCTCAGCCTGCTAAAGGGCATTTATATAAAACTTGGATCTATGAAAACTCAGAACTAACATCATACGTAGCAGTGAAAGAAGGAATGCTTTCCCCCTAAGATCAGGAACAAGACAGAGTAGTCTGCCTTCACCACTTATCTTGCCAGGGCACTTAGGCAAGAAAATGAAATAAAAGGCATCCATATTGGAAAAGAAGTAATACTATTTATATTTGCAGGTGACATAGTCCTCTATATGGACAATTTTAAGGAATACACACACCAAAAAGAAAAAAAACAACCCTATTAGAACTAATAAACGAGTTCGGTAAGATGGCATGATACAAATCAATATACAGACTCAACTGTATTTCTACACATTAGCAATGAATAATCCAAAAATGAAATTAAGAAAAAAATTCCATTTTGAAGAGCATCACAAAGAATAAAACACTTAGAAGTAAAAATTAATAAAAGAGGTTCAAGACTCCTACACTGAAAACTACAAAACACCATTGAAGGAAATTCAAGACCTAGGTCAATAGACATCTCTGGTTCATGGGTTGGAAGACCTAATATTGTTACAATGGCAGTACTTCCTGAATTCATCTACCAGTTCAGTGCAGTCCCTGTCAAAATCCCAGCTGCCTTTTTTTACAGAAATTGACAGGCTTGTTCTTAAGTGCACATGGAAGTGCAGGAGACCGAGAGTAGTAAAAATAGGGGCGCCTGGGTGGCTCAGTCGTTAAGCGTCTGCCTTCGGCTCAGGTCATGATCCCAGAATCCTGGGATCGAGTCCCACATCGGGCTCCCTGCTCGGCGGGAAGCCTGCTTCTCCCTCCCCGACTCTCCCTGCTTGTGTTCCCTCTCTCGCTGTGTCTCTCTCTGTCAAATAAATAAATAAAATCTTAAAAAAAAAAAAAAAAAGAGTAGTAAAAATACTCTTGCAAAAGAACAATGAAATTAAAGGACTGACATTCCTTAGTTTCAAAACTCAATACAAAGCTACAGTAATTAAGATGTCGTGATACAGACATAAGGATAAACATATAGATCAGTAAAATAGTGTTGAGAGTCAAGAAGTAAACCCTAATATTTATGAATAATCACTCTTTTTTTGACAGTAATACCAAGACATTTCAGTGGAGATAGAATAGTCTTAAATTTTTATTTTAATCACACAGTGCTCATCATGACAAGTACATACCTTAATCCCCGTCACCTATTTAACCCACTCCCTCCCCTCTGGTAACCATCAGTTTGTTGTCTATAATTAAGAATCTGTTTCTTGATTTGTCTCTTTTTTTCCCCTTTGTTTGTTTCTTAAATTCCACATATGAGTGAAATCATATGGTATTTGTCTTTCTCTGACTCACTTATTTCACTTAGCATAATACTCTAGCTCCATCCATGTCATTGCAAATGGCAAGATTTCATTATTTCTTATGGCTGAGTAATAGTTCATTGTGTGTGTATATGTGTGTGTGTGTATATATATATATATACATATATATATATACATATATATATATACATATATATATATATTATACCACATCTCCTCTATTCACTAATTAATGGACACTTGGGCTGCTTCATATCTTGGCTGTTGTAAATAATGCTGCTGTAAACATAAGGGTGCATGTATCCCTTTGAATTTGTTTTTTTTGTTTGTTCTTTGGGGGGGGGGGTTTGTATTCTTTGGGTAAATACCTAGTAATGCAATTGCTGGATCATAGCGTAGTTCTATTTTTAACCTTTTGAGGAACCTCCATACTGTTTTTTTATAGTGGCTGCACCTGTTTGCATTCTCACCAACAGTGCATGAGGATTCCTTTTTTCCACATCCTCGCCAACACCTGTTTCTTGTGTTTATTTTAGCCATTCCGACAGGTGTGAAGTGATATCTCATTGTAGTTTTGATTTGCATTTCCCTGATTATAAGTGTTGATGAGCATCTTTTCATGAGTCTGTTGGCCATCTGGATGTCTTCTTTGGAGATATGTCTGTTCATGTCTTCTGCCCATCTTTAGTTGGATTATTTGTTTTTTGGGTGTTGAGTTTTATAAGTTCTTTATATATTTTGGATACTAACCCTTTATCAGATACATCATTTGCAGGGCGCTTGGGTGGTTCAGTCGGTTAAGTGTCCAACTCTTGATTTCAGCTCAGGTCATGATCTCAGGGTCGTGATATCAAGCCTCGAGTTGAGCTCCATGCTCAGCAGGTAGTCTGCATGAGATTCTCTCTCTCCCTCTGCCCCTCCCCTCCACGGGCCCTCTCACACATTCTCCCCCCGCCGCAAATAAATCTTCTCAAATATCTTCTCCCATTCAGTAGTTTGTCTTTCAGTTTTATTGATTGTTTCCATCACTCTGATAAAGATTTTTTTTGGGGGGGTGTAGTCCCAATAGTTTATTTTTGCTTCTTTTTCCCTTGCCTCTGAGGGACCTATCTAGAAAAAGGTTGCTACAAATGATGTCAGAGAAGTTACTGCCTGTACTCTATTCTAGGATTCATATGGTTTCAGGTCTCACATTTAAATCTTTAATCCATTTTGAATTTATTTTTGTGTATGGTTTAGAAAGTGGTCCAGTACATCTTTGTAATATAACTTGAAGCCTGCAATTATGATGCCTCCACCTTTGGCTTTTCTTTTTCGAGATTGTTTTGGCTATTCTGGGTCTTATGGTTCCATACAAATGTAGTATTATTTGTTCTAGTTCTGTGAAAAATGCTGTTGGTACTTTGATTAGGGATTGCATTAATTGTGTATATTGTTTTGGGTAGTATAGACATTTTAACAATATTTGTTCTTCCAATCCATGAGCATGGAATGTCTTTGCATTTCTTTGTGTTGTCTTGAATTTCTTTCATCAATGTTTTTATAGTTTTCAGGTACGGGTCTTTCACCTCTTTGGTTAAGTTTATTCCTAGTTATCTTACTATTTTTGATGGGATTATTTTCTTTCTCTTTCTGCTGCTTCATTATTGGTGTATAGAAATGCAACAGATTTCTCTATGTTGATTTTGTATCCTGCGACTTTACTGAATTCATTTATCAGTCCTAGCAGTTTTTTGGTGGAGTCTTTCAGGTTTTCTACATATAGT